AATGTTAGATGATTATTTTTATGAGGACAGCGAGGTTGGAAATATCAATAACAATATCAACAACACTTCTATTAATGTTAATGTTGATGATTACGATGGAAATAATAATCTGAACACTGATGATGATAATAATAACTCTAATAATAATAACAATGATGAGGTTTATGATAAGGATAGGAATATCAATATCAATAACCCTTCTGTTAATTTTAATGTTGAACCACAAAACAATGAGTTGTTATTATTACATGATGAAGATAGTGATCTCTTAGATGACTATGATGTAAATAATAATACAAACACCAATAGAAATAATAACTTTAATAATAATAACAACAATATTAATGTGGAAGAAGAGGAAAGCATTTAACAAACTTATTTGTTTATTTATTTGTTAATTTGTTTTATTTTTGTCAACTAATACATTTGTTTTTAAAATTCTTACACAGAAATTATAATTTCTGGCCAAGAAGAAAAAGAATAAATCATAATGTAGGAAACTTACAAAGGAAATGTCAGCATAGAAATGTTGTAAGTATAAACTGAAACATTAATAATACATAACATTTTATTTAAATTTTTTGTTTACTTGTATTTATAGGACACGAGTTACAGTATATTCCAGATTGTCATAAGGAAGAATTAAGCTAGCAATGAACACATCCAGAGCAGTGTTGTCAACATTATCACCAACAGCATCTTTGCGAGAGATATATATAATTTAAAACATAATTATATCTTAAGATAAAATATTAATTTTTTTTTATTTTTACATACAGGAGGGTGAGGAATTGTGGACAGGGTGTCCAGTTCATTGTCCCAGGGTTGGTGAATGTGTGGTCCATTGGTGGTCCATTGATGGTCTATTGGTCCATTAGTGTAACATTTTAACTATATTTAGTATTTTATTAATGGCAATGGACCAGCTCAGTTCTCAATGGACCAGTCAATTTGCCAACCCTGCATTGTCCTGGTGATTTTTTTTGAAATTTATCAAATTTCAGGGTGGGCCAAGAGCTAAATAATAAGTTGTGGTTGATCTTCTCATTTAAATTTATTATATTAAAATGGATCTGTTTGTTTGAGCCATTGATGTTGATTCACCTTTAATTTCAATATAAATATATGTACTGCATTTATTGTGCAAAGTTGATTTTGCCTAATTATGCTTAATTATTATACATAAAAAATTAATTATAATTATTTTATTTAGAATAATAGTTGTTATTTTTTATTAATCACGAAAAGTAATTGAAAATTTGGTTATAATAATAATAAATAAGTTTATTTGGCTTTATTTATATCAAGGACCTACATTTTCAAAAAAACAATAATAATGATTATCATCTTTTGTCTCATTAATTTGTTAAATCTGTGAAAATTATTGGATCTAATCTAAAATAAAATATGATCAATTCTCTCAAAGATAACAATTAAATTTGTGAAAATTATTAAATCTGAAATACAATCAATTTCTAACCTTTGTCTCGAATAAAGATAACAATTAAATCATTAGGTCTAATCTGAAATACAACCAATCTCTAACCTTTGTCTCAAATAAAGATAATTTAAATCCATGAAAATTATTAGATCTAATCAGAAATACAATCAATTTCTAACCTTTGTCTCGAATAAAGATAATAATTAAATGAGAATTAGTGGATCTAATCTGAAACGAAATACAATCAATTTGTATCCTTTGTCACCTTAATTCATAGAATAACGATCCTTTACTAAATTTCTTATATAAAGGATGAATTTACTGCCATGTACCTGTTATAAATATTGTTAAAAAAAATATTAACCGTTTAATTAAAATGAATGCACAAAGAAATAATGTTGAAGGAACATCTGGACCTACTAGTAAAGGTAGCAGTAAAAAATGAAGGAAATTAAAAACTCTTACAGGTCTAGATCAATTTCCTGAATCTCCAAACTCAACATTCTTTGTTCCAGAAGATACAGCTGGTCCAGATTTGGTTTTTATAGTTCAATTTAAAGGTCCTGGTGAAAACTATATAGATGTGCCA